AGCGGACATACAATTGAAGGCAACAACTACTCCGTCTCGGGCTTTTGGCGTGGATGGTGCGAGAGCTCAGCTGCTTTTCTGGGCTTCGCCCAAGGGGTAGACCCCGCAGGAACCTTTGGCCGAAGAGGACAACTGTCAGGAGAAAACCCAGCACGAACCTTCTAGAAAAGACGAAAGCCAACAGGAGTAAACCCAGCAGGAACCTTTGGCCGAGGACGAACACCCTAAGGAGTAAACCCTGCAGGAACTTTTGGCCGAAGACGAAAACCCTAAGGAGTAAACCCAGCAGGAAGTTTCTGTCGAAGGCGAAAACTCTATGAACTAAACCCCGCAGGAACTTTGGCCGAAGACGAAACCCTAAGGAGCACACCCAGCACGAATTTTTGAAATAAGACGAAAACCCTGAGGACTAGACCCAGCAGGAACCTTTGGCCGAAAACGAAAACCCTAAGGAGTAAACCCAGCACGAACCGTCTACGAAAGACAAAAACCCTGAGGAGTAAACCCGGCAGGAACCTCTGGCCGAGGACGAAAACCCTGGGGCACGAAGCTTGCTGGAAAGATGAAAAATTCCAAGGACTAAGCCTCGGAGGGACTTTTGGCAACCCTAAGGAGTACACCCAGCAGGAACCGTCTAGAAAAGACGAAAACCCTAAAGAGTAATCCCACCATGAACTTTTGGCCGAGGACGCAAACCCAAAGGAGTAAAAAAGCAGCAACCCTTGGCTGAAGACGAAAACCCCGAGGCATAAAGCCCCCATAGTTTTTTCGCTCCGAAATAAAGCCAAAAAAATCATAACTAAGCTGCGTGTTTTGCAACCTTCTGCAGAGATTCGTTGTTTTTTAAGATGAAAAAGTTACAACTAAGCTATTTTGTCGAAAAACCTCGAAAGTTACATCTAAGCCACAAAAAAAGTTACATCTAAGCGTTCTACCGTCGAGTCACGAGTAGACACCCCCATGATCCTGCGTGCTAGAACCCCGAGGAGACCTTGCTGGTACCCTATTGTTGACCATTTCTTTCCGAACCCCGCCAACCCTAAAACCCTGATCACAACCCTCTAGATTAGAACCCCAAAACCGTAAAAAGCCCTAAAGCCCTAGATGAGGATTAGAACCCTAAAGTCCACAAACCCTTAACATTGCAGGCACAAAAAAATCTTCGGGCCGAAGTTGCTGAAACAATTCCGGGCCGTGAAGGAGATTCTGCCCTTCGCTTTTAAGGGCGTTTGTTGTTAAGTCTGTTTTTTTGTCGGGTTCGACCGGCCTAGGTCTTAGCTCTTAAGGTTAGGGTCGATAAGAAGTTTTAGGGATCTTCAGGGCCCAAGGTCTTTGCTGTGTTGGCTCTTGATGGGTCGCTTATAAATTTGGATTTCTAGTTTAGTGGTCTGAACAATCACATTCGTGCTACATAGGGTGCTGCATAGCTTTTTACATGAGCTTCCGGCTTTTGGGTAAAGAGCTTTGGGGTTTAGCACAGTTGATCAGTGGGTTAAGTTTAGGCTGCGGAGCTGTTTGGTTGCGGCCATGGCTTCCTCTACCGGGATCTGAAATGTGTGTTTCTGTTTGCTTCTCTTTTGCCGGGGGAGTCGGGCTTGGGGCTCTTGGGTTTGGGGATGATACAGCAATTATGAGGGCCAAGCATAACTTGAAAAGGAACCTCTGTTTTTTGAAACGCGGCTCTCGGGTGGAGAACCGACGATGTAGGCTGGGGAATCGAGTTATGACAAGAGCTACTCTGTTCAGGTTTCAGATTCCACAAAACCCGAACACACAAACTGGTTCTTTGGAGCTGGCATGCAATGAGTTGAAACTGATTGCCGCGGCCGAAGAACAGCAACCGTGAAAACCCGCAATGATCGTACCAAACTGAAGACTTCCTACGGAATCCAAGGCTTGCTGGCGACACGAACCGTCTGGTGGCTGAGCTCACCTTCGTTCGGATGTAGCTTGGCGGCAGGGGGCTCAAAGATCCCCGCAACACCCGAACTTGTTAGGGTTTGTGTCCCAGGATCTTCATGTTTAGACAAGTCCAGATTGGAGATTTTGAGAACCACTCTGACAAAGTTATCCTATTCGCACTCCGACTTCTCAGACTCCTGAAGAACCCGAACATCTCTCAGATGTTGGTAGCCCCAACTGAAATAACCCTGCCAAGACCTTAGTAATGAAACTTAAGTACACGGAACTTGTGGCCTGTGCAAGCTGATTAAGCATATGCAACGTATCAAAGCACTGTCTTTAATCTTCTCGAAAACACGACAACATGAAGCCTAAAGAACCGCCTTCAGCACAACAGAGACTCTCCGGATCCTCTGGAGCACGGCAGTGTGCAATGCCTGAATCTCTCCGATGCCGCGTCCTTGCCCTGCCAACTTTGAAGCCTGCCAAATGCTGCAAACACGCCAAACACGGCAGTCATCAGAAAGTGCGCCACAGTAGTTTGTGCCATGGGACATCGCCAAATGTGCAGAGGTAGGTTACCTATCCCCTAAGGCAAGCCTGAATGTTGAAGCTTCGGGACCTCCTTCTTCGTTGTTCTCCGGGCTAAGGAATGACCTCGCCGTTCCCTCGGAGCCAATTCACATCCTGCTGTATCTGGAGCCTTTAATCGCGTTGATCATTATCGCCAATGGCATCTCCATTGGAATTCAGACAGATCCACTGTATGAGGGCTGGCCCTACTGGATGTATGTGGAGCTTGGCTTCGTAGTGCTTCTCTCCATCGAAAACTTGACCCGCACCGCTGTGCTTGGCTGCCGTGATTTCTGGTGTGGGGCCGAAAGGGGTTGGAACTGGTTCGACTCTTTCGTGACTTCCATTGGTGTCGCAGACGTCTCCTGGCAGCTGCTTGCCACGGATTCTCCGGACATCGCCGGCACCTTGCTGCTGCGCTGCTTCCGCTTGGTGCGTTTGGCCCGGGTCGTGCGTGTCTTCCGCTTGAAGATCATGTCCGACCTCCGCCTCATGGCCCCTCGACGACAAGCTTCGACAACATAGCGGGCTCCTAGAAGGGTTTCTATAAGACGTCTTAAAAGGGCACTGAACGGCCTTTAGCAGTTAGAGTCTTGCTTTTGCCATTGAAAGTTGACTATCGCGATGACGGTGCGGCCAGGTTAGGGGCCTCGTTGCCGGCATCTGGACACTGGCGCTGGCCTTCTGCCTCCTCTTCGCGGTCCTGTACCTCATCGCAGGCCGCAAGCAGCGCCCTTCATGTGCGCATCCTCTGTTCATCAAAGTCTAGCACAGGGCTCGGAGTCGTGACCAAATGCTACCGTAGCCCCGGCGCCGGCTCCCGTAGTGTAACAGACAGACAGTTGACCTTCCAGAGCGGCTTAGCAGGTGCGGCGATACTCCGGTTGGCACTGCCTTGAATTAAGCCTCGAATCTGCGGCAATTTGGGTTTACGGCTTAACGCCAAGGTTTTGGTTTAGGGCTACGGATTGAAGAATATGTTTTTTCTACGTGCCTGTTTGTTTCAGCATGATCAAAGCAACCTGGGAATGCCAACTTCCAAAAACTTACCTTTGCCTAAGATCTGACGCAGACCCCAACCTGGTTCAAGCCTTTGAGACACCCCCTGAACCTTCTAAGCCCCATACCCCCAACTCCCAGACCTTGAAACATTAACATCATACTCCGTAATCCCTAGAGCGCCTAAACCTTAAACCTTCTATGACTATGACCTTATAAGCCCTCACCCCTGAGCCCCGAAAAGGCCTGGCCTCCTTCACCATTGGCCGGGACAGTCGGATGGCAGACCTTGGTATGGAAGATCTGCTCTCTTGCTAAACCATAAGTTGATTTAAGGCAGGGTAGGCTTTATGGGGTGCGGCTGGTAGGGGTTGTAGGATGCTAAGGGTTCATGCGGTAAGGCTTTTGGTTGGTAGGGTCTAGAGGACTTATAGGGTTTAGGTCTGTTGGGGTTCGTGCTGCATCCAGAAGTTCCTGTTCATCATAACGGTTCTAGGATGTTCTTGGAGTTTTGGGGTGTTCAGGGGGCCGAGGGCTTGGGATGCACATGCTTTGGAATATGAAGGTTAGAAGATAGATGGCTGAGGGCCCGAGCTGTGGAAAGTTTGTAGGCGGTGGGAGAGCTGTATTCGAGGAGTTTTAGAGAGGGCTGGTGGGATGGAAGGTTGCACAGTGTTGCAACTCTGTTGGCCTTGGGGCTTTGAAGGTCTTGTGGTGTTTCTGAGGCCCATCGGGTTTAGATGGTGTGGGGATTGGCGGCTTGCTTTATGCAAGTTTGCAGCTAGAAACTGAGGGTACGCCATTGCCGGCATCATTGCAGGGCTTTTGCCGGTGCTGACTCTTTGACTCCTATAGCTAGATTCGGAGCATGGGCAACTTAGGTTTTACAACATCCCGTGGTCCATGTTTACTGCCTTTCGCTGTTTCATCGGCGACTGTAACACCATGACTGGTGAGCCGATTATGCTGGTCCTCGCCGAGCAGTTCGGAGTGGTCTTTGTTTTTGGCTACGTTTGCAGCTACATGCTGGTGGCCATGGGCATTTTCAATGCCACCTCTTTGCAACCAAGAGTAGGCCCGCTGTGACATGGGAGTGTTCGGCTCAGCTTTGTGCATATTATGGATAATCAATGATATAGGTGCCTTGATCATTGCCTTTTGGTGGGTTCCTTATGATAGTTATCGTACAATGCACCCCAAATTCCAAAGCCCAATTCGAAAATTCAAGGCCCCTGTATTAAGCCCGGCCCTTCCTCCCCGAACCCCAGCGAGTTCGAAGCTTCGGCCGGGTTGCGTTCTCTACTCTTGAAGCGAAAGGTTCCTAGAGGGTTTAGGGTTTTCTTTAGGGCTTTTTTACGGGGGTTAGGGCCTGCCTTTTTGTTGGATCTTGTCGAACGATCAAAAGCAGACAGAGATCATTTGCTAAAATTGTTTTATCGTCTTTGCAGCGCACCGCCAGGGGGCGGTGGAGGGCAGATGTTTTTCGACCTGTCGCTGAAATTACGTATGCTTTTGCTATACGCACAAGAGCTCTTGAATCCCACGAAACCTGACGGCTCTCTTTTTGAGTCACTGCACAACGCTTGACATATTTCACAGCAGGGAAAAGTTCCACGGTTTCGAACGATGAGGACTCGTGTTTGTGTAAGGTGGTGACATGTGAGGAGTCTAACTAGTTGAGGTTCGGGCACGACTCACTGACCAGATTGACCAGATAAGTGGATCTCTTTCCGGGATGGAACTGTCTTCCAGAGTTCATTGCATGTTATGATGAGGTAATCCTTGCGGTCTACGTGGACATTACCATGCGAGCTGCGAAAGAGAACGACGCCGTCACCGCAGAGCAGTACAATCGTGAGTCCATTCGAATCGCCCGTGCAACCCGAGAGTTACTGAAGAAATTTGCAGCTGCTTATCATGTTTTCCACGTAATTGAAGATCATGCAGCTGATATTTCTCGACTGGAAATCAGCCACGGTGCAACTCTGTTTACCGACGACGAGATTCACGATGATGTGGCCATTACCAAAGAGCTCTTCTTTCTGGTCATTCAAGATCCCGCGGTGCAGGCCCCAAGCCCCAGCGCTCCAGTCCTGAATTCCCCCTGCTGCCGTTCCCAGAAGTGCATGCACCATGTCCTAGCCAATAGTCCCTTAAACTCCTAAGCTGTAATGAAACAGACTGAAAGTCTCAGAAAATAGGGAGCCGCAACATAGGCACTAAATAGTAGGGTCCCTTTTCTTTGATTACTCTTCCTTGCAAGAATGCCGCCCATAGAGGCATTGATGGATGAGCTCGACCTTCCGCCGAACCGCGCGCAGCTCTTCGAAGTGATCGATTCAGATGGAAGTGGCACCTCGGGTAAGAGAAAAAAGGTTTAGAGTTGGGGCGTTTGAGTATATGGTTTGTGAGGCCGGTCCCTTGTTGTGAGGGTTGGAATTTCGGCATCCGTGCAGCATTTGGTAGTCCTGGGGTTACTGGTGCGTAGGCATCCCTCGGTTTTTCTTCCCGGGGCTCAACCTCAAACCAAACCCGGCGTGAGCCTAGGCTTGGAGAGTTCAAGGGCCTCCCAGGGGCGAAAGGCTTAACACACTTGCTTTTAGGTGTAGGTCCCTCTCGGGTTTCAGGGTTTCGGCCTCAACGTCCACCCCTGATCAACAAGCTTTTCTCCCGCAACGAGGATCACCATAAGGACATCGCAATATGCTGGTCCTTACCAAAGGGGTTGACAGAGGAGCTTCTTATCAGGCAGCGACATCAAGCCTTGAGGAGCATTTGAGCTTCCCCTTTCGCTAAACCCTAAAGCTCCCAAAGCCCGAAACCCTGAAGCCCCAAGACCTTATAAGCCAGCCCAAAACCTGGTACACGAAACCCCTCCATGAAGCCCTGACGCCCTTTTTTACCCTAAAAGCCCTAATAAGCACCTAAAGCCCCCTTTTTTGGAGCGACTCTTCCTTCTCCAAGGTACCCTCCACATCCAAGAGCTGGTTCAGGGCCTGTTGAAGCTGCGAGGGGAAGTCAACAAGGCTCTCCGGAAGCTTCGGCAAGAAAACGGGGTCCTGGGATTGAGGGGTTTATTGGTGTAGGGCTTAGGGTCTAGGATTTTAGGGTTGAGGGGTTCATGCGTTTTTGCGGGTTTCGGGTTTGGGAAAAGTGCGATGGGACCTATGATCTTGGAGTTTAAAAGTTTGGGATTTGGGGTTCGGGGTTTAGCGTCATGACAAAGCAGTATCTGAAACTTGAAACCCGAACAACCTGAGCACAACTGTCCTTCCAATTGCACATAACCCTTGCATCCCGAGATTCCCTGCAATCCTAACCGCGTAGAATCCCTTGTTGGGCCCGTCTAGCTCCGCAATAGGGCGATGTCGTCGCTCCGCTGTTGGCAGCCCGCTCTGTCCAGACATTGGTGACAAGCCTACAGGAGGAGGGGTGCTCTTGACATGGCTGGGGTTAGAGGTCGTTATCCTCGGGGTCTCTGCTCACAATTCGAGGTTTGAAATGTCAGACATCTTGAGACCTTTCGGAAAAGACTCTGAACTCACGCAGACGCGAGCTATGTAGAACTACAAGACTGACTGACCCTGAACCCTGAACCCTAAACCCTAATGACACACCATAAAGGTTGCAATAGAGAGGCTTCCGGGTTTCACTAACATTTCACGTGGATTAGCTCTTGCGGGTGCTACTTCTGTAACCTATAGTTACAAGCATTCCAAACTTGGTCGTCATTATGGTCAACCTTTGTGCATGGATGAGATGCGTCCGACACCCCGATCTACACAAAAACCACTATGCAAGGTTCCTGGTTGCATAAACCTATACTCTAGCAACTTTAGCAATAGTAGATCATCGGCAACATACCATCTAGAATATGTAACCTATGATGCCATGGTATGCTATCTATATCCAGCAGAGACTGGAAGGAGTACCCCTTACCGCAAGGTGGCTACTGAGCTGATTGGTCGAGCACAACAAACCCATACTACCCAAACTCAATCCCCAACCCCCCCGGAGCCCCTCCCTCTGTCTTAACTTATATAAAGGCCCTAAGTAGGATCAACTGCCTGAAGCCCTGACTCTTGAGAGGACTTTGCGAAGTACTTTGGAGGACTCCCGGGCTCTCGTCGGGAGGAGCCGTTTCTCCGAAAGCCTCAGCCTGCGCCCTCGGTCTTCGGGCCGCGGCTGGGGGTGAAACTCCCACAGCGCCCCGAGGCTGCAGAGGCCGAGATGGAGCCTCTGCCGCCCTACGCAGACTCGCCCCGCAGCCTCTGATCCTCTGAGTGAACCCTTCGATTAGAACCTGTCATTGATCTTAGTATTATGACTATGATTGTTTTTGTGACTGTTATAGTGTTAATATGAGAGTATATTCTTAACATGTGTTTTTGCTATTGCCAGTTCTTCAAAAATCGTTGATGGGCGAAGAGCAAAGCTCTCGCGCCGAACGCGTTTTCAACCTAGAGACGGCCGTTTTCGCAGAGGCGCAAGAAGCCGCCCACGACGAAGTCGTGGGCCCAAGGCTTTGGTGGCGGCTGGCAGCGCATGTGACCAAGCAAGCTTGAAGGGCCTGGAACTAAGATTTGTTTACACAAATTTGCAGCAACCACAATCGAGAAGGACGTCGAAGTTTATTGGTATCGGGAGGAAGTGGTATCCGGAGCAAGGGATGATAAATTCAAGTGCACACTTTGACGATGACCCAAACCTACCGAATTTCTTATGGTCCTGAGTTTGGGCAGTCGCGCTGTGCGCATTTCTTTTCACAAGGTCCGCTTGGCTCCGGCACTTGGGGGCCCGTTGCAAAGTGGGGTGCAGTGGCACAAGGGTTTCATGAAAGAAGATGATATACTTCAGGCACTCATACTGTTTTTGTTCCTCGGTCCTCATAGTGAGTATCTGCTTGGGGTCTGTATTGACTGGTTGTTGAGGGTTTAGGAACCCTGACCTAAAACAACAACAATCTAGTCGTCAAGCTCCCAAACACCAGAAACCATGAGACCCTTAACCCGAGACCCTTCTTATGTAATCCGACTCTGAGACCCTACACCGCACTTATGCTCGACGGGTTCGGGTCCCTGATGTTTGGGAACCCCAAGTTGGACAGCGACGCATCCAAGTCGAAGAAAAGTTGGTTTTGTCTCTGGTTGAATAGGTGGGTTTGGGCGGTTGTCAAAACTAAGGTCCCTGTCGGGTTCCCAAGTTTAGGCTGTCGTATTCAGAGTAGAATTACGTACGGTTCCCCAAAAGGGCCACGATTTCGGCAGTTTCCCATTCGGGTCCTAGTCAGTAGAGGGGGGATGTGGGGGTGGATTATGGGTATATATTACGGACACGGAGCACATTGTATTGGTATTTTTCAGGTTTCTCGGTGGAGCTTGGGGTTCAGGCCTTTAGGGCTTTAGTGCGTCAGGGCTAAAACAAGGGGGCAGAGACTTGGGGGCTTTGAGGCTCTAGGGCTTCAGGGCATTGGGGCTTCCATTGACTAGGCTCGCTTAGAGTCTTGGGTAGGGCTTTAGGGTTTGGGGTCTCAGCGTTTAGGGTGGGGTCCCTATAGACCCTAAACCCCTATCCCCTCAACCCCAAACCCCTAAACCCTAAACCCCTAAATCCTAAACTCCACGTAAAGGGATCTCAAGGTGTCTACTCTGTTTCGAGGCTTCAGACCCTCTGTGCTGTAACTTCAGACCATGACTTGCCTCAGATCTTAGGTGACTACGTTAAGGAGGTTTAGGGTTTAGGATGGTTTAGGGGTTTAGGGTTTAGGAGGGATTAGGGGTTTAGGGGTTAGGGTTCAGGCCTAATCAAAACTAGACCCTAGAACATCCGAAACCCTAAGCCGAAACCAGAAACCCTGAATTTAGGCCGATAAACCTTAACCGTGATTGAGTCTGGGGGGGGGTGGTTCCCCGGTCATTCAATTTGTCCATGAGTTTTGAATTTTCGGAGATGCTGATTACCAAGCCTCCTATTCCAGGGCGAGAGATCGAGGCCTGAAAACTTGCTATGATATCTTCAATACAACTCTATTTCAACATACCCCAAAACCCGATTCTAGCTATCCCTGTATACCGGCGGGTTTAGGCGCGATCCCAAACACCGAAATAGCCTAAGATGTGGGGGTTCAGGGCTCGCAAGACCGCAACCACCAGACAAAAAAAAGCACTGCCGCAGGCACTGAAGGATGTAGATCCAATGTGAAGCCTTTTGCAACCCTATAGCCTCTAAGCCCCTCCCCCACAGCTACATGCTTCTTTGTGCAGCTTATATTGAGTTAACACCTATAAGCACCACTCTAGACCCCAGACCAGATATCCTGAACCCTGAACCCTAAAACCTAAACCCTACGCAGCTTGAAAGAAAGGCGGCGTATAGCAATGTCTACTTCAGGGGTATTAATAGCGGCATGATGCTTCGTCGAGATGCTAGAAACCCCCATACCCGGCAAAACTTGGGTTTCGGGTTTAGGGTTTTAGGTGCGGCAGAAACGGGCCACTGTCACGCCGCCAGCATACAACTCAACAAGTCGAACAAGGTTTTAGAGTGTAAGGGTTAACGGACTTGTATAAGACCTTGTGGTATGAAAGAAGCGTAACAGGACCACAAATCAACTAACACACCAGTACGAGCGCCTCGAACACCCGCCTGTAAAGCGCACACACATAGCCCCTAAACCCTTAACGCCTCAACTTGACTGAGCCCCAAGTCCCAAATCCTGAACTTCATAACAACCCTTAGAAAGCTTCATAGGCTTTGGGTTTGAGGGTTCAAATGCTACAGTCGCCTGAAAGGAAGCTTCCGTCAAGCGGCTCTTGGCCAAGCTCCTGATAGCCCCGCTAGAGAGCGCTTTGGCCGTTATTAAATGCGGGGGCTTCGGGTTATAGGCTGTAGTTTAGGGTTTCGGATGTTTTCAAAGCCTAAACCCTAAACCCCTAAACCCTAAACCCTGGACCCGAAGCCTCAAATGCTACTGCTTCCTAGGCGGGTCTGTTTAGGCCCAAGGTTTGCGGCATGGGTTCAGGGCTTGGGTTCAGGGTTCGGGCAGTTAGTGATATAGAAATAGAGCTTGATAGGTGTGCAGGTTTAGGGCTTAGCGTCCAGGGTATATACATATATACACAACAACATAGGAAGGGGTCCTACACCCTAAACTTTAAAGCCCTACACCCTACACCCTAACTCAGGGCAGCATGAGCAGAGGCGCGAAGCGCATCAAGTTTTCAGAGCGGGTTGTGGACGACAAACCCGAAGCCCTAAAGCCGCAAACCCTGAACCCTGAACCCCGAACTGCTTCGTGTTTAGGGTTTAGGGCCTTGGGTTTAGGGATTAGGGGACCCCACACCCTAAAACGGTCAAAGCAGGTACTATGTTCCTACTTGGAATCCTGTGGACCCCAACCTCTAGTGAGCTGAAGCTTCTCGCTCGCTTCTGTTTTTTTGTTGTTGTTGTTGTTGTGTGATGTTTTTTAATGTTTGGTTTTATGAGTTTGCTGTTTGGTTTCGCTGTCTTTCAATTCATTGTGTTTGGACCCTAACCCCGTGGCCCCATGTTGGCGGAATGGCGCTTAATGTTGGCAGATTGTATACTTCTTTTCTAGATTGTTGTGACGCCGGGTTGAAAATTCATAATCAAGGAAAATAGGACTCGATAAACTTCGCAGACGAGGTTGAAGAGCTCCGACCATCCAGGATGTTGTGCCAGGAGGGCAAGGCAGGGCGTACTTCCTAAATTCGCGCGTTGGCGCATAGGACTGGGTTGAATTTTACGGTCATGTTTTAGGGTCAAGGTGTTGGTATGAGAAGAGGTTTTTCGGAACGCATTAATGCTTTTCAGCCCACTCTCACGGTGAGGTGCTGAAATGGGCCTGCCAATGCGTGCCCACAAGCCCTGAAGTCTTCGTTAAACAAAAGCACCCCCAGGATCGCGATAAGTTGCAGTTACTGACCTGGGAGCCTGGCTTTTAGAGAAGTAGAAAAGTGCAAAACCTACGCTCGTCAATTGGTGAGGGGGGGTTGCTACTGTCCAGGCCGCGCCTGCGGCATCATCTTCCGCCAGGGTCCAAAAGCCAGAGCGCATTCTATGACAGTGCTAACAGTAACAGTCACAGCTCTGGGTCATCGTAGCATCAGTATTGGCAGAAGCAGTACGGTGACGCTTTTTAAATATGTGGAGGGCGGCCCAGGCCCAAGGATGAC